ACCTACCCAGCCCCCCAACTACCTCAGTACCTGGGGATGGAAATGGCCACCTAATGTCATCCCAGGGTCCCTGATGTGGAGCATTCTCCAAGGGTTCTGCTTAAGTGGTTTTGATGATTCTGAAATGCTGTTGGTCTCACCGCTCCAAGGATGAGGAAGTGCTTCCAAGGTCCATTGGCTGCCATAGTCCACCTTAGAGTCTCCATTCACCCAGATATTTGCTGTCAACACTTGGCTAGGGCAATTGACCAATTTGTTCTGCCCTTCTTCTCCTATGGCACCACATGTCCTCTGCAAGACCCAACGCACTGCCATAGCCTTCATGTACATCTGGGTATCCATCTACTACTGCCTCGAAGTCACTGAGGAGGCCCAGTTCTGACACATGTGCTCCAAGGTCAGACCACAGATCCTGTGGTTCTGCTGGAGTTCTCAGTCCAGCGATTCAGTTGGGGGGATCCCCAAAGAAACCTCATCTGAAGTGATCCTAGGTCTGACTCATGCATGCTTGCAAGTATGGGATCCAGCTTAGTCTATTACTCATATCAACCTATGCACACAGTGGTAGTGGCAATTGCTGGATCAGTTCTATCTCCAGCGTTGTCTCTTAAATAAACCAACGGGTGTTGCAACCCTCAATAACCCTCATTAGGCCCACTCGCTGCTCTGGTTCCTGTGCATGCCAGTATGTACAGCAAACTGGTGCAGTCTGTCCCACTTTGCATTCAGCTCTTGTACACACATGGGCGTTGAAGCCTGGCTCAATCCAACTGATCCCACTGTCCAGCCCACACTCATACCAGGAAGTACCACCACCTGTCTAGCCAGGCCGGTCCCCCGTTAAGGTACTCCTGTTCACCAGTGGGAGTTAAAGCCCATCAGGGAGGTGCCCACTGTTTCCCTACTGGACCATGCCCATTTTCTTTTTCTTTCTTTTTTTAAATTTTTTTAAAGATTTATTTTTATTGCAAAGTCAGATATAAATAGAGAGAGGAGGAGAAACAGAGAAAAAGATCTTCCATCCGATGATTCATTCCCCAAGTGAGCACAACGGCCGGTACTGCTCCAATCTGAAGCCAGGAGCCAGGAGCTTCCTCCCAAGCAGGTGCAGGGTCCCAAGACTTTGGGCCATCCTCAACTGCTTTCCCGGGCCACAAGCAGGGAGCTGGATGGGAAGCAGGGCCGCCGGGATTAGAACCGGCACCCATATGGGATCCCAGCACGTTCAAGGCTAGGACTTTAGCTGCTAGGCCACCACGCTGGGCCCCACTCCCATTTTCGGATCTTGCACTCCAGGAGTTTCTGCAGCCTAGCTTGACAGGATTTGCCCCTAATCCCAGCGCTTGCCAGCTGATGCTGCAGCAAAGCCCAACCATCTTGCACTTACTCTGGCTCATGCACCAGTGGATACAGTTGGTTATCCCAGCCTGGCTTCTCCCTCTAACCCAGTTCATAGGCAGACCAGCAGGTGTTGTGGCCCTGCCTGGTCTGCTCTGCCCCTGGTCCCAACTCTCATGCCTACCAGTGGCCCCTATGTCTCACATGTGCTGGTCAGTGCTGCAGCCAAGTCTACATGGCCTACCTCATCTTGGCATTTTCAGGTGGGTGCTGTAGGCTGGTCTCCTGCTGGTCCCAGTTCATGCTGGTGGGTGCTGCAGCTTAGCCCAGCTTAGCCAGCCCTCAGCCCAGGTCTTACTGTGAACTGGCTGGTGTTATGGACTGACCCAGCCTGTCCTGTTCTCAGATCTGCCAGTGTGTGTTATGAACTGGCCCAGCCTGGCCTGCCCCCAGACCTGAACCACCTGTATACCATCAGGGCTTGTCTGGGCTGCTCCCAGCCTTAGTTCTTGTGCTCACCTGCAGGGACTGTGTCCTGACAAAGGAGTTCCCCAAGCTTCTCTATCAAGTCTCTTCCCAACGGCAGAGCTCATGCACTTGACTGGTCCCTTTAAAATTTTGGTTTCCAGATGACTGTACAAATGTGAAGACTCAAGCAAAACAGGACTCTCTGACTCTCAGGTAATGCCACATTTTCAGGGACTCTCCTTTCCCCCCCCCCCCCAAAAAAACGTATTAGTCTTTTGGCTCCCTTCTCAGATTAATTCATTACTTTAGCAAATGTAGAGCTGCTCTAACCTAACTGGGTTCTCCAGACCCCATCAGGAATCAGCTCTGATTTCCCTTTGCTGTTTAGACCAAGGTGAGACCACCTGATTTCTTCAAAGGCGACCCAAGTGCTGGCAGGTGAAAATGATTGCAAAGTTTGATTCTGTGTGCGTATCTCTGTATTCAGAGGAGGTCTGTAGACTTCAAGGCACCTGGTAGCTTCAAATGGGCCATTGTTAATACGAATGAATGGATTACATTTATGGAGTTTAACTCTTAGGATCCTCAAATGCTTCCTGTGAAGGAACAGTGTTATATTAAGAAACCAGTGATCAATCTACCTCAGGGTGTTTATGACAGATGCACTGGGCAATGACTGTTCTCAACCTGCCTACTTCCTTTTCATGCCCCCGTTCTTTTATCCTTAAGTATAAATGAACTGTTTAGCTTTTTCTCTGAAGAAACAGTCTTCTTGACTTCTACAAGCCCCCAGGTCAGCACAGTAGTGATATTCCAATGATATGTTTTTTGTCTTTGTTACCCCATCAGTATCTTACGGGAGATACAAAGTAAGCGTGATGTGATGGAAATTCCAGAGGCCCAATGGGATGCCCAGTCCCAGACTCAGCACCGGATCCGTACCAGTGGCTCCACCCCTCCACCTGATGAGCAGGGCAGGCTCTCTGCAGTGGCTAGAGCCCGTGAGTACTTGGAAAGCTGCTTGTTTCTGAGTGCACACATCTTGCATAGGCCAAGAAGCAGCAACTCTGCAGACAGGCACTGTAGCACCACCACGACTTGCTTGGCTGAACACTGGTGACAAACATGGATCCCAAATTTGCAGGCCATTTTGCCCCTTTCCTAGTGTCACGTGTCATCACCATATTCAAGGGCAAGGTGGTGCAAACTTGGAAGGAGAAGCAGGCAGAAAATGCCCTCTCATTAACTGTAACACCATTGGGCCATTGTTGAGCTTGGGACATGACCTTGGCTGATGCTGTGCCTCTGACCCTGGAATCTTCAAGGCAAATGCCACAGGTCACCTGTCAATACTGTTTATTCCTTGTGGATTTGCAGATGCCATCTGTAGTCTTAGTAATTATGCTGTAATGGTCTCTAAATCATGCCATCAACCCTGCTAGCATGTCTTGCTCCAGAATTCTGGCAGGAAGGCCTTTAGACAGCCCTTGGTGAGAATGGAGGACAGTCCATTTAAATCAAACCTTCATTTCTCTCCTGCTAAGTTTCCTTTTTTGATTTCCCTCCTGAGAAAAATACAAATACTTCTCACAAGAACATGGGCTGGATTCTGGTGTGAATAACATGAAGCCATACTTGATTCCTGGCCATATATGAGTTTTTTGGTTCTGAATTAAATATTTTTTTAAAAGATTCATTTTGCTTGAAAGTCAGAGGTGCAAAGAGAGCAAAAAGAAAAAAGAGAGGTAGAGCAGCCAAGACTAGCACTCATATGGGATGCTGGCATTGCAGGCAAAGGATTAATTTGCTATGCCATTGTGCAGGCCCACATGAACTTTTGAAGTACCACCAGGTATGACTTCTTGGTTGCCAATTGCCTACTTTATCAGTGGATCAATAGTAGGAGATATTTAGACCAGAACAGTCTCCCATGGGTGGTATGGACCCAAGTACTGGGCCATCTTTCTCTGCATTCCCAGATGCATTGGTAGAAAGCTAACATGGCTATGTTCTCAAATAATAAGATGTCATAGACTTCTTTGTGATTCTGCAGTTCCCCAGACAAGGGACTCTTACCCCCGCAGTCATTCTTAGGAGCCACCCTGAACTATAATTAGGAAAAAAAAAATTTTTTTCAGTTTCATGCACCATGCTGGGTGGGATTCAAATTATCACTTAACTCCCACAGAGACTCCTCTAGCTTCAGGCAAGGTCCTGATTCAGCAGAGGCAGGAGGGCTGGGAGTCACCAGGAGTGGAGGGAAATGTCCATTAGTCAGAAGTGGAAGCTATTTTCCCTGAGTTCTTTAACAATCCCAAGATGGAGCATTCCCAAGGCGGATTAGCTGGTATGCTATTGAGTGAGTTTTCACCTGTTCACAGATAGCAAAATGCCTCCTGTTCTCATTATCTTGACCCTAAGATTGGCAGAGAGTAATGCTATATTGCAGGGGACGTTTTTGAAGGACCTACTGCAATCATTTCAGCATTGGGAATCATAGAGAAAGTTAGGAGGGGTCCCTATACTTTACCTAGGTGTGCACTATGGCCCTTAGATATTATATCTAGCCATTCTTTATTGATGACATAGGCTAGGAATTAGCCAGGGCTTTGGGGATGAAATGTATAAAATAAAGTTTCATCTAACTTGACATTAAGCAGTAAGCTTTGGACCACTGACACCTGCCTTACACTGCATTCCCTTGGTTACTTCATTCGTTTTCTAAGGCTTCCACAGCTAAATACCACTAACTGAGTATCTTAGAACCATAGGAATATGTTCTGATTTTGGAAGCTTGAAGTCTGCAATCAAGGTGTTAGCAGAGACATGCTAACCCTGAAGGCTTTTGGGAAGGATCTCTTCTTGCCTTTTCCTGGCTTCTGGCAGTTCTAGAGAGTTCTTTGGCTTGTAGACACATCACTCCATCCTCTGCCTCTCTTGTCTTTACATCTCTGTCTCCTTTCCTCTTGTAAGTATATTAGTCATGGCAATTTAAGGTCCACCTTAATCCAGGATTATTCGGCTGATTACTTCTGCAAAGAAGGGCACTATTTACAGATAAGGTTACATTCTAAGTTCCCCGGTGGAACAAGTTCCTGAAATACCCTATTCAATCCACTATAGGTACCTTCCAAACGTTCATGTATGTCTTTCCTATTTGTTACTCATTTCCATTCTTGTCTGAACAGATGTCAGCCCGGCCATTTCTGCTGATTCAGCTGCATTGCCCAGCAACCCTTCAGGAGCCAGACCTGCCCAGCCCATCGGTCCTCAGAGTGGTACCCTCCAGCTGAGCAGCACACCAAGTCCTGGGCACCAGGACTGTGGCAGCCCAGGAGAAGAGATGAGGCCCCAGAAGATGAATGCTTCTGGGGATCTGGCCTCCTTTTCTTCTTTGTACCGGCCCAACTCCAAACCCTCAGGTAAAACACAAATGAGCAGCTGGTAAAGCATTGTTCGGAGCCACACATCCTTTCCCTGGCCAAATGATTCTTTAGCCTCTTGATAAAATTCTGGCTTGCAGAAATGAATGAGGAGGCAAAGGGGCAATAAACTAGGGGTCAACCAGAGAATGAGATTCCAGGTGAAGTGCTGGTTCTTTGTAAGTGCCTTCTCTCTGAGCGCCTAAGGACTCACTCTGCACAGGAGAAAGAAGGAAGCCATTGTAGAGCATTGCTACAGGGAGGGGAAATTACCTCACCTTCACGTGCTCTCTTCTGGCTATACTGAAAGCTTTCTAGGTCTCGTGAGGGCTGTTCCAGAGTTCCAAGCTCAGAATCCACAGGCACAGCTTTCCTTAGGTCAAGAGCTACTGTACGGTGGGAAACAATTTCTACAGAGTCAGCCACGTTATATACATATGCACACAGACACACACACACACACACACACACACACACACACACACACACTGTGCATGCACCTATGTGTCAACCCTGTTCTCCTAAATAATGCTGTTAGATCTGAAGCCAGGCGTCCCAGCACCCAGGAGCTACAAGTGTAGCTACATAGTGGCATGGCTTGAAGCAACTCAGTTTCTGGGTCCCAAGTAACAAAACAACATAGACATTTGAAATTCTCAGAGAAAATCTGCTGCTAGATAAAATGTCTTGATGGATGAAGGCTGTCCTTAGCCTGCTTCTCTCCTTGGTGCATCTTTTCCCTTCCTTGGAGATTGTTCCATTCTCTTCTGTTCCACCTTCATCCCTGACACCGCCACAGGATCTTCCATGTTCCTCTCTGTCAAAATTGGTTACAGGATAATACTCAAGATCACTCAATATTCACAACCTGATTTGATTCCATATGCATATGCATTTACCTTTTTCTTGTACATGGGTAAATAGTCAAGGTTGTCCAGCCAGGTGTCATTGGCTTTGAAGGATACGAGGCAGAGAGGGAAGCCATGTGAATAATCAGTCACTTATATCCAAGAGATACATAAATGTTCCCACTGTGAGGTCAGTCTGCTGGAGGCCTCTTGCAGTTTCTCCACTTTGCTTTCTATACCTATGTCTAGAAGAAAGCCCTGTGGAGTTTCTTTACAGGGGACCAAAGCCCAGCACCTGGCTGCTCAGGTGAAAGGAAGAGGTTGACAGAGGCCAGAAGCAGGCAGGGCAGAGAGCTTGCAGGCAGGTGCCACAGTGGTCCATGAGTTGATTGCACTTATCCATGCAATCCTCCCTAACCCCAATTTCTTGGTGATTTGCCACAGGGGCTGACCTGCTGGAAAGGAACCTGATTGAGATCCAGACCCTGCGCCAGCGCCTGGAGGAGTCAGTCTGCATGAATGACCGCCTAAAGGAGAGGTTGGAGCATGAGCTGAGCAATGCTGAGCAAGGAAAGGGTAGGGAAAACTGAAAAGATCTTTTTCTGTTCACATCTAGAGATCTTCCACAGGGCATAGGGATACTTGGGGCAAAGTTTGGGGGTTTCTAAACACATTGGCATGTGGTATTTCACTTGTTCCTCACAAGCAGCCCAGATAGGGAAGGTATTATTTCCCTGCTTTATAAATGAAGGACCCAAGTGTCCTTTGATTTAAGCAGAGCTAGGTTTTGTTCTTGGGGCTATCTGCCATGATGTCCATTTTTGTAATTGCTTCTGTCACCTGGTACTGTTCTTGGGCTGTAGTGACTGGCGAGTGGTGGAACCAAGGCTTCTTTGGTGCACACTTTAGCATGTTCATGCTGCTCTCACACGCCCTGGATCCCTCCTGCCTTTTCATGACTGGCCCTTATTCTCACAGTTTTCACTCAGCGTGCCCTCACCTAGAGAACCATTCTCCCACACCTCTTCTGCGTTGAACAGTACATTGAATGACAGTGTCACAAGAGCAGCCAGTTGCAGATTCTGATGCACAACTGCTACCACTACATGTGACAATGTGCCTACCATGAAGCGTCCTATGAAAACCGAATCTCAGCAGTTTCAGACAGTTGTCTCCACAATGTGAAGTCACCAATGTTTGTTGCTTGTGATTGAGACTTTGGTGGGTGCAACACAGTATATCCTTGAAAGCATCTGACCCTCACATGTGTGCTTACCTGGATTGTGTTTAGTCGCTGGGATAGTATCTCCCTCTGTCTGCTTTAGGCAAGAGCTAGAATCCATTCTGCACCCTGCTTCTGTCCAAGGAAGCCAAGTGGATCTCTCAGGTTTACAGAGGGCAAAATCTAAGCTGATGTCACCTTCACGGCCCCTCCTTTCTGCAGCCATACATACCCAGTTGCAGAAGCAAAAAGAAGTAGAGGGCACAAAACTGCCCAGATGCATATGGCCCAAAACTGTGATGGTTATACTCAGCCAAGCAAGGCTGCCTGTTGTAGGATCCCACTACACACGTCTACACTGCCTGGCTTCAGCAGTCAATAGTTCCGAAAAAGCCACATTTCATGGTTATGTCTCAGTTACAGATAACGGAAGCAGTCATGGGCTATCCACTACAAAACAGCTTGGTATCTCTCCCCCTGCCTGTCCCACTTGTAGCTAGATATGACCCATAAAGAAAAGAAATACAGTTTCTTTTGTTGTTACTGTTTGGAACAGTAGTGAAAAGAATTCCATAAATCCCTCAAACTTTATCTCAACTCCGACTTTCCTTTGCTAGGTGCTGCATCGTCAGCCCTGGATGTTTCACCTGCCAGCCCTCATCCATGTACACAGAGTCATTCTCCCGGCTCTGGTCAAAGCTGCCTGTGACATGCTGCCTGGAGAGTATAGAAGAATCTTCTCCAGAAGTTTTCCAGCCCTACTTAACAGCATTCTTGAGTATAGACTTGGAGGCCTCAGATATTGCCTTTAAATGAATGGATCAAATTAATAAATTATCATTTAATATAATCATTTCCATCTGTTTGTTGATTTTTTTATGACAAGTAAAATCTGCATTGGAAAAAATAACCTGATGTTCACAGAAAAAGTTTAGCGAAAAGTGGATTTTCTATATTAGCTGTGTCTACTTCAGAACACTGTGGAAAGGTAAGTAAAGAGAAAGATGGGCTCCAGGACTCCTTCACTCCCGATTGTGTACTTACAACAGAACTGGGGCCTAATGGGTTAAGCTGCTGTCTGCAATTTGGATGGGCACAGGTTGAATCCTGGCTGCCCTGCTTTTTATCCAGATCCCTGCTAATGCATCTAGGAAAGCAACAGGAGATGGAAACCTACATGATGTTCCTGGCTTCTAGATTTGATCTGGCCCAGTCTGTCATTGTGGTCATTTGGGGAGTGAACAATCGATCTATCACTCCTCCTCTCTCTGTAACTCTGCCTTTATGATAAATAAAATCTTAAAACACATACACACACACACACGCCTGGTGCAACAGCCTAGTAGCTAAATTCTCCCCTTGTATCCACCAGGATCCCATATGGCGCTGGTTCGTGTGCCAGCTGTTCCACTTCCCATCCATCTCCCTGCTTATGACCTGGAAAAGCAACAGAGGATGGCTGAAAGCCTTGGGACTCTGCACTCACGTGGGAAACCTGGAAGAAGCTCCTGACTCCTGGCTCCTGGCTTTAGATCAGCTTAGCTCTAGCTGCTGTGGCCACTTGGAGAGTGAGCCAGCAGATGGAAGATCTGTCTCTCTATATATACTATATATCTGCCTTTCCATTAAAAACAAATATTTAAAGAAAAAAACAACAACACAAAGAAGAAATGTCACATGGAAAGAGATAAGATCTGTTTCCAAATGAGGACTATTACCATACCCAGGTGAACTCCATGCAGGAAAGTGGTAGAAGCTGCTTCTCAGTGTGAATAATGTTTGAGAATCAGAAAAGCCACGAAGTGGCCGCAAGCCTGGAGAGCCATTGCCAACGTTTCTCAATGACTTCGGCAGATGGATCAATGTTAGTGTGAAAATATTCAGAACAGATAAGCACCGATGACTAGAACAGTTAACTAGAAGCAAGTGAAACCACATAAAAATAGGTCAAAGGAACTGCCCCCACAAAATAGGTCGAGGGAAACCACATGAAACTAGATCAAAAACCTGAGTCCAGGCGAGACTGGGCCCAAGTGCTCTCCATGGGTGGTGGTGGTACAACTCAGCTTTAACTAGTACTTTTTGTCACCCCCTGAAAATTCTCAGATTTTTCCCCCAAGATACAAATCATAATTTTCAGAGGATGACATAGGAATGTGAAAATGAGTTACCCAAGGAGAAAAGACTGGATTAATATAGTATCTAATGTTTGAATAACTGCTGTGTAGAAATAAAAGTAGACATTGTTGAGGCAGGTATTGTAGTGTAATGAGTTAAGCCATCACCAGCAATGCTGGCATCCTCTATAGCTGCTGGTTCGAGTCCCAGCTGCTCCACTTTCAATCCAGCTTCCTATAAATGCACCTTCAATAGCAGGATGACGGACTTGTGACTGTTGTTGAAGGACGACTATACTATTGTAATAATATAGAGGCAGGAGGATGGGAAATGGGGAGGGGGAAAACCCTGAGCCTATGCAACTGTATCATGAAAAATAAAAATGAAAATTAAAAGACACACAAACCACAGTAGCTCCTGAACTCCCTACCAACATCCCCACAGCCATATCGTGTGCAGCTGTTGATGCCTAGGCACTAAGCTCCATTCCCTGGAATGCAGACACCATTCTTACTTCACCAAATTCACAGAAGTACAGGTCCGTTATCATGTTGCTGTAGTGGGCTAGTCCTTCTGCTACCTGTGTCGAAGATCTCAGGGTCAGTGTGAGTGTGACTGAGCTCATCTCCCAGCTGACAGCTCTGCAGTGTTGAGAAATTGCTCCCTGCCCACCAACCTTATTCCTCCTACACCTAGGCTCATCAGAGCATGCCAAGGAAATGAAATTCTTAGAGAAGCTTTACTGTCTTCTCTGTCCTAGCTTTAAGAGAGCAAACTGAAGCCAGAGCCAAAGAAGGTGGGATGACCGTGGCTTTCATGGAAGTGGAAGGATATTGTGACCTGCACCATGAATCAAGGTAAAGAGAGAGACAATGCACAATTAGATGTAAGAGACACAAAGCACAGATTTACAAAGTTGGGGGGAGGAAGGGCGGTGAGAGATTTGCTCTCTACATAAGGAGAGGAGTCTAATTGAACTCTTTCCAGCAGTTTTTCTTAGGGTATCAAGTTTCTCTACTGACTGGGCAATAGTCTAAGGCCACATCCCCACTCCCACTGGTCACTAGCCACTGAGACCCCAGGAGCTCAGCCTGCGCCAGAGGAAGGAGGAGAACAGGATTCCTGCTGAATATACAGGCTCCCTGAGCTCAGAGTCTTACACCGCCACCTGCAGCTGAGGCCTTGACTGCTGCCTTGCAGGCGGAACGCCCTAGCAGAGTTTGTTCCCAGAACTCTCAGCTCAGAACTGTGTCCCCACTTCTCAGACTGCTGATGTCTGCCTTGGAGACAGATGATGTCTGCAGAAGGGGAAGCAGCAGGAAAATTTGTATTTGCAGGGTGAATACCTGTCCTTCTAAATAAAGTCTCCCAATGTGGTGGCCCCCATTTCATGAGCTGGAAAGGACCAAGGCAGAACAGTGGTGTCTTTGCTGATAGACTCCCATGTGTTTGATCACAGGACACTGCCTTCGTTCTCTTTGGCAGGATTATGTAACACATAAAAGCCATGCTTGACAGTATTATATTTTTTTTTGAAGATTTATTTATTTTATTGGAAAGTCAGATATACAGAGAGGAGGAGAGACAGAGGAAGATCTTCCGTCTGATGATTCACTTCCCAAGTAAGCGCAACAGCCGATGCTATGCCGATCCAAAGCCAGGATCCAGGAACTTCTTCTGGGTCTCCCACATGGGTGCAGGGTCCCAAGGCTTTGGGCCATCCTCGACTGCTTTCCCAGGCCACAAGTAGGGAGCTGGATGGGAAGCAGGGCTGCTGGGACTAGAACAGGCGCCCACATGGGATCCCAGCGCATTCAAGGTGAGGACTTTTAGCCGTTAGGCCACGCCGCTGGGCCCGACAGTATTATATTTAAATATAAATGAATCTGACATTTTAAAAACATGTTGCCCCCACTCCAGCAATATATCATTGATCCTTTTCTAACTTACCCACAGCTGCTTATTACCACAATCTCTACTTGGTTCTGGGCTAGCTCCTTCTTACTGTTTTCTCACTTCAGAGATTTTGTTTGAATTTACTTTGGGCAATTAGTTTAGAAAGTCAGGAGTTGAAGACAGGCTCAAATCTCTCACATGCACATGAGTGTTGGGACAATTAAGTGAAATAGTTTACAAGGTGCCACACAACTTAAGAATCACTGATTTAGGCCTAAATCCTCACCTTGCATGTGCCAGGACCACACATGGGTATTGGGCTTGTGACCCTGCTGCTCCACTTCCATCCAGCTCCCTGCTTGTGGCCTGGGAAAGCAGAAAAGGAGGGCCCAAAGCCTTGGGACCCTGCAACCACGCAGAAGACCCAGAAGCAGCTCCTCCCTCCTGGCTTCAGATCGGTTCAGTTCCAGCCGTTGAGGCCACTTGGGGAATGAACCAGCAGATGGAAAATCTTTTTCTCTGTTTCGTCTTCTCTCTGTTAATTTGCCTTTCCAATAAAAGTAAATCTTGGTTTTTTAAAAAATCACCAATTTCAGAACAGAAATGCATGTTTGGCATATGAGAACTCTTTTTACTCCCCATATGGCTACAACAGCCTTCTTTGAACTGGTGCAAAAGCAGGAGCTTCTTCCAAGTCTCTCATGTAAGTGTTAGGCTCCCAAACTAGGGTGGTCTTCTGCTTCTTTCCCAGACACATCAGTAAGGAGTTGGAATGGAAGTAGAGAAGCTGGGACTTGAACTAGCACCCACATGGGATGCCAACATTGCAGGAGAAAGCTTTATCCACTATGGCACAGCAGCCTCCCCTTTGTTGTCTGCTTTTTAAAAAGATATCAAAAACTACCTTGATAGGTACTGAGCGGAAAGTCTTTTGGAGTAGAAAAGAAAATGGGTGTCATAGGCTTTCACAAAGTTTCCGGGCAGTTTAGGGAATGTTTGTTTCACAAAAGTGCTTCTTGAGAAAGAGGGGACCATTCAGTGAGCTGAACACTTAAACACCAGAATCTTTTTATCTCAGCAGGAAGCAGAGTGTGGAGGGAGAACAATGGCCTCGGCTCTTGATGTTAAACACTTGCTCAGTGGAAATGAATACTTTGAAAAACTATGCATGAATTTTAAATTATTTTGAACCCCAGTGAATTTATCTTTTACTTCCATTTCCACAAAGTTTTTCAAGTACCTTCTATTTTCTAACTCCTTAAAAAAAAAAAAAAAAGATTTATTTAGAGGCCAGCATTGTGACATAGCAGGTAAAGACAGTATCCTATATGTGCATTGGTTTGTGTCATAGCTATTTCAGTTCTGACCCAACTCCCTGCTAAAGGCCTGGGAAAAGCAGTGAAAGATGGTCTAAGTGCTTGGGCCCCCTGTGTCCACATACAAGGCCTGGAAAAACTTCCTGGCATTGATGACCTGATCCAGCACTGGCCGTTATGGCCCTCTGGGGAGTGAATCAGCAGATCAAAGACATCTAGATTTAGTTGTTTATTTGAAAGGCAGAGTTCCAAAGAGAGAACAAAAGCAAAGGGGGCTAGGGATTTTCCTTACACAGCCTCAACAACCAAAGCTGGGCCAGGCAAAAGTCAAGAGCCTGAAACTTCAATTGCATGTCTCACATGGATGGCAGACCCAAGCACTTGGGCCACCTCATATTGCTTTTCCAGGCACATTAGCAGGGAGCTGGATCAGATACAGAGCAGCTGAGACGTGAACTGGTGCCAATGTGGTACACTGGTGTCACAGATGGCAGCTTGACTAGCTATGCAAAAAGGCCAG